CTCCGGAATGTCAAGGCAATGGGAATGGGAATGGAATGGACATTTACATGAATGTGTACCACCCATTTACAATCCTTAGTATACAGTATTCTATAGTAGCATTCCGGAATGTCAATGCAATGGGAATGGAATGGACATTTATATGGATGTGCAACCCAATACGCTGTCTATAGAATAGAGTTTTCTATTGGAGTATCTCAAGGCTGTATGAATGAGTTTTGTCACTGATAAATATTTAAATTTTGCGTCATGTGTTGGTCGTTTTCTAAAGACACTGGATAGCCTTCTGAAAACTTTTTTGTTATATGTTTTATTGGTTCAGCGAATCAGAGAAACATTTTCGACGTCTAAGGTGTAGGTCGTACCTTCTGTTTGTCGTCATCTCTTGACTAACTAATTCGTAGTGTGAGATCTGTGAATGGCGTGGGCGTACACTATCACATGTATTATGGTTTGCTGAGTCACTAGTATTCTGTGGTTCTTGGTTATTTTGAGAGTTTGCTAACGTTGTGTCCCGCTTACGGTCACATCGACTTCGTAGCACATTCAACCCGAAACATAGTAACTGCCATTCATGAGTTTAAAATTGGCACATTGCCACGTTTCATCCCTTCGCAATGGTTACTCACGGTCTCCTTCAACAGGCACATATGTTGAAACAAGTTGTTTGTTTAAAAGATGAAGCGAATAGACGGCATATGATGACTTGGTTCTGCATCACATAACCGACTAACCATCGCCCTGTCAAAACATATTATTCTGGTAAAAAAAAGAAAAAAAAACCTTGACACGTTGCGCTAGAACTGGGACATGGCTTAGTAATGCGGTTGGCTTGACATACTTACGTCTGTCCAAGGCGTGCAATGACCTTGTTACGTCATTCGCTGTACATGTTCTGCGGGTTGCTCATTGTTATTGCTGCATACCGTGTGTGTGTGTGTGTGTGTGTGTGTGTGTGTGTGTTGTATATTGATATTCTGTAAACCATTTGTTTTCACCGCCTTTTAATCTCATTATTTTAAGCATATTCACTGGGTTTTAAGTTCTCGAATTTGCTTGAAAAACAATGAGTTCTATTGTAAAATTTTCATGTGAATATAATTTAGCAGATTTTGCTGACTGGCGAAACGAGCGAATTCAAAACACAGTGAATAAAAAAAAGCATTCTATTTATTTTTCATAAATGTTTATAAATTCCAGCCAGCCAATTAACGAACACAGTGAGCAATGACGTATTTTGAAAATTGTTGTGTTTGGGTTAGCTTAGTTGCATGCTTAATTATTGCAGTTACCTGTATGCTTGGTTTACGGGGAACAGTGAGGTATACCAATACTATCGAGTGGATTGGTGTTTATGCCCTATCTATACTACCATGCCATCGGTTAAAAACAAGATAGTGCAGTATCCTCGGGGGCGGAGCTACGTCACATACGTTCCACGTTGCTAAGACGCGCACCACTGTACCATGCATTTCTATGGGCTCTGTGCGCGCTGCTGTGGAACGCCGGTGGAGCCGGTGAAAATTCGAGAAAACAACACAAACTCAATTTTGAAGTAATCCCGAACAACCAAATTTATATATGTTACACACGTAGGGCTAATCTTGTTACACTGTTCAGAGGAGTCTCAACAATCATCCCAAAATACCGTTTTCTGCGAGTTTTGGGCCTTTGTTTTCACCGCCTCCGGTTGCCAGGCGGTGAAAATGCCCGGATGTCCGCCCCCGAGGATATTAATTCAATGAGTGACTAATCTTGTGTATTATGAAAATAAAGCATACTGGTAATCGCCTACTATACTGTGGCGCCCTCTAGTGGCAGCTTTTAACACAATATGCCTGAGTACGCAGACTGACTGAATAAACCAAGTTGTGTATATTATTAAAACAATATTTATATTCTTTTTTTCAGACGTGAACATTTATTGTGTCTGATCATAATTATTGCCCGGAGAAAATGTCATGATATCAGAGTTTTAAGCTGTGAATAAATTGACCCACGTCGTAATCATGTCTAATTTTGTTCCTAAACTGACAATATTGAACTTTGGACTTGAATTATTACCAGTTACCCCGGAAGTAAATGGCACATTGAGACGAGATTGACATGTTAAAAGGTATGCGTTATACTGTGTTAACGTATTACTATGGTAAGTCAAGTGACTATGATGAATACTTCATTTGTAATACCTGTACTATTATAGTAGTGTTATAATAACTCTAGTAGTCTGTTTATATTATAAATATGTGACCATTATGATTTACGAACCAATATTGCTACGAGGTTGTTACCGCACCATTTCATAATGCACCATACTCCTACTGGGTCATTACTTGTTCCGGGACGTTACTTCTCCCGTTCTGTTACACACCGGGACACTATGTCTAACGGGTCATTAATTCTGTTGGTATTTATACTTTTCGAACCATTACTCTTACCGGGTCATTATACCCTCTGTACCATCATAACTACCGGGTCATTATTATTTTATTTGTTTCTATAGAGAAGGAGTACGTTGGAGATGAGTTCATTTTCATTCATTTTAACTGATTTTCTGGTGTGACGTCACCATGCTCCCCAACTTGTGTTATATTATTTTTGTCTTATATCGTCTTGTCACATTTTAATTTATTACTACAAATTGTTCATTTATGACGTATTTGTAATATTTTATAATTTTCTAGATGATAAGTTCACAGTATGAAGATCCAAAAACGTCAGATTAAAATTCTAATCTTCGTGGGTATTATATCAGTTATATTGTATAATACTCGAAGGTCAGTGAACAAGACGATCTTAACCTACACTGATCAGTTCTATGATCGAGGGTAAGAGAGTAAGCGATAATTAAGATATATGTTGAGCGAGGGATAAACTATTCAATATATCGAATGATAAAAGATGAAACTTGATTTAAATTGGTTGTAATATGTGTTTGTACGTATATCTGAATCAATATAGTAGAAAGGCAGACAGGGCGACATACGGACACACGGACGGGTGGATGTTATGTGCAACCGTTACCTATTAAATAGTATAGAGAATTTCACCCCCAACAAACTGTACATCTTTGTCTCTTTGTAAATATACTTGAAAGAATATACAAAATATGGATATCGTCCTTCGCACGTTATATTGCACTTCACAAGCATGGAGCACGTGGATGCCTGAATCTGATTGGCTGTTAGACGTGAATGCCTGAATCTGATTAACTGCTGGACGTGAATGCCTTAATCTGATTGGCTGCTAGACGTCCATGCCTGAATCTGATTGGCCGCGAAACAGAAGAAGACGTATACTAACATCAGATGTTTGAATGTGCGTCTGTTAATACATAATGAAATATCATGATAATGTTTGCTATTTTTATCACAGTGTTTGTGTTTTACAGAAGGTTTAATTATAGTCGATATGAAAATGAATTAATGGAATGGAGAAAACTGGTAAGTTTGAAGAACCACGACCACATCTCGTTCCTTTTTTCTTTTTTATATGTAATAATACGTTTTAGTTCAAACTGAAACGATAGTTTTTTATTGTCCGATGGAATGAATAACTTTGAAACATTTTAAAATTTTCTATTGATGCCCACGTGACCTGAAGCCATTTACTCAGTTCAGTTCACAAAAGTTAGAAATACATGTAGAAACAAAAACAATACCGATCCGATGAAGGCGTCACTTCATTGCGTGCTGTGTCCGCTGCCTGAAAGGTTGGGTTCAATTGACATCGAAATTTATAAATATTTATCAGAAAACAAAGAGAACGGGTTTGTAGTCGTAGGCATTAAACCTAAAGTAATCTACATTCAGATTCAAAGAAGAAGTTTTCTCTGCTTAGAGAATTACCCACAATTCTCCGTACTTCTTACGGTCACTGTTGTTATGTGAAATTATTGTGTTAGATCAAAGGTCTCAGTGATCTATTTATCCGGTACGCGCTGTGATTGGTCAAATGGTGTTCGATCATCAATTCAAAATTATAAAACGTTCAAGTTGATTTTATTGAAAACTATTGTAGTTTTTGTGTATAACCTTAATATTGCACAAAATGACAGCATCAAGAACATAACCTAGCTATTCGTTTATTGACCTGCAACCTAGATTGTGTATAGGCAAAAGAAAACAATTGTTTCTATTATGTCGACATGCGATATTGCCGACATACCGAAATCAGCCAATAGGGACAAGTGTTACATCCATCAATACTTTGTTTGAATGTAGAAGAAAAAAAGGCTCTCAATGACGATTGGGTAATGTTAGGATGGGGTAACGGTGCATGATGGGTAAAATAATCAAATACCGCAGCTCATATTTGTATACCACCACAACCGATTGCAATGGACACTTAAATACTATGTTTACATTATGTTCCAGACAACATCGTTACATCAACATCTTTGTCTACCGAAATGCAATATCGTGTTTTTAAAAACACATAAAAGTGGAAGCAGTACCATACAGAATATTCTACTCCGGTTTGCAGAGAAAAATAATTTAACAATCGCATTGCCACCCAAGAAGATGTATCAGTTGGGATATCCCAGGTTGTTCCAAAGAGAATATGTTATAGACGTCCCATGGAAAGAATATAATATATTGACTCACCATACACGATTTGATTTACACGGTACGGTATGGAATATGTATTTATAAACACTG